GTGAATTTAGTCAGTCACAGAAGGACAAATATTGTATAAGACCACTATTATAAGAACTCAAGGAAAGGTTTAAACACAGAAGAAAACATTCTTTGATTGTTATGATGATGGGGAGGGAGGGGGAGGGTTATTTACTAACTTGATAGTAGATAAGAATTATCTTAGGTGAAGGGAAGGACAGCACATACTACAGGGGAAGTCAGCACAACTGAACTAAACCAAAGCTAAGAACTTTCCTGAATACAATCAAACACTTTGAGGGTTAGAGTAGCAGGGATAGAGGTCTGGGAACCATGCTTTCAGGGGACATCTAGGTCAATTGGCATAACAAAACTTATTAAGAAAATGTTCTGCGTCCTACTTTGGTGAGTGGCGTCTGGTGTCTTAAAAGCTTGCTAGCGGCCATCGAAGATGCATCAATTTGTCCCAACCACGTGGAGTAAAGGAGAATGAAGAACAACAAAGAGTCCCTGATGGAGCAGGAGAAAGGTGGGGTGCAGAACTCAAATTCTTGTAAGAAGACCAGACTTAGTGGTCTGACTGAGACTGGAGGAACCCCAGAGAGCATGGCCACTCGATTCTCTATCAGCCCAAAACTAAAACAAAGTCCGAGGTCAACTCTCCAGACAGGGTTTGGACTGGACTGTGGGACATAAAGTGACACTTGTGAGGAGTGTGCCTCTTAGCTCAACTAGATACTAGACACTAAATGGGCAGCTTCTGTCTGGAGGTGAGATGGGAAGGCAGAGAGGGTTAGGAGCTGGTTGAATGGACATGGGGAATCATAGGTGAAAAGGAGGAGTGTGCTGTCACAGTATGGTGGGAGCAATTAGGGTCATATAACAATGTATGTTCAAATTTTTGTATGGAAAAAAAAACTACCTGTGAGTTGTGCTTGACCAGGTGGCTTAGGAAAACAGTGGCAGTTGATGTGCCAGGTTTCTATTCAAGGCCAGTGGAACTGCAATGACCAGGGAATGACGTTTTCTCAGAGGTGGTTGTAATGTAATGCTGGCAGAGGTGGATGCCGGGGAGGTGGTTGGAGTGTCTGAATTTGTGCTATTATTCCATAGATAAGTGACAGAGAGGACAGCATGCTTAAAGAAAAAGAAGAGAGAAGAGCAGTCTGCTCAGCTTTGGCTCATATTAAAAGCCAGCACCTATTCACCCAAACTTCTGAACCCAAAAGGATGAAGTTCCCCCAAGAGCAAAGTCAGCATGAACATACCTTAGGAATGAGCAGCACATCTCCAGCTGAAAGCAGAACTCAGATACCTGTGATGCCTCCAGCATCTGCATCCAGCAGTTTCACATCCAATGTACCATCTTCCTAGTCCCATTCCTTGTGCCTCCCCACACTATGAATAAAGGAATGATCAGAAACTGTACATAGTTTTTCAACTAATCCCCAACTCCATACAATTCTCTGTTTAATTTAATCCCCAACCATTGAGCAAGGGTCTACTTTGAGACCGTATAGGATTCTGATTCCTTTCCTATTGGCATGCTTTCATGATATACTTCCAGTCTTCAAGGCAATTATTGTCTTTGGTTAGTTCTGGGGTAGAGAGAGAGTGCTGGCAAGTAGCTAGACAGGCAGAGATAGATATGAGAAGGTGTTCATCCACTACATCCCAGCTTAGTTTATACCCTTTTCCCTTTGCTCGCTGACCTTATTTCAGGATTTATATTCACCATTTCCATGCTCCTTCCAAGATTAGGTGTTTTCACATATGCTACTCCCTGTGCTTTGGATCCCTTTCTTCTGTCTCTTCCCTGGTCTGAGTGTTTTCAGCTGTCAGCCTTGATTTGTAACTTGAGCAAGTTCCCCTGATACCCCACTCCTAGAACACATCAAGACCTCCATTTTTGCTCCCACAGCACACTTTACTTTGACTTTATAGTATTTATCTCAACATTATTAATTGCATGTTTTTCTACCCTATCGGACAGTAGGCTCAGATTAAAGAAACTTTCCCAGAGGACAGAAATCAGAGGTGGAAAAGGTAGTCCACATCTCTGTTCATTATATCTTATCCCAGCCTCCCTTTTGCTCTGCCGTGATTTGCCACTCATGGTCACTGGCAGACAGAGCTCACATGCCTATATTTGTGAGTTGAATCATCAGAGAAACACAAGAGGAGGATTCAAACATTCATTATCTACTGTAGTTTGTCCCTCAAACTCTAGCCTAAAGTGGCCCATGCACCCCATGCTGCAGACTCTACCACCACCATACCACACATTCCAGTTGAACACTGCCTTTCTGTATATGGGGGTTCTCAGTATTTCTTTTTGACTATTTTTGTTGTTGTTAGAGTTGACGTTGCCATTTGTTCCAAGAATCCATATTGCCTTCTGGTGTTTCTAAGTTTTGTTTTGTTTTGTTTTTTGTGGGAAGACGTAGTTAGCAGCCTGTCCCTATTTGTTATTCTAGCACTGAATTCCATGATGGATCCTTGTCTAATCATTGCCACCTCAAGCCCAAGGTGATACTTCTACTTTAATATGAATGGACACCTAGGAGCCACCCTACTTCTTACATGGATGCTGCCTTGGAAGGGATTGTGTAACATTTTCTAAGGTCCTACCACTCTACAAATATGGCACAGGCATTTCTACATCAGGGAAACATTTTATGTGACTTAAACTGTTTTCGACATGGGAATTACCAAGAGGGTTATATAATGCCACTGTCTCATAGAGGGAAACAGAATGCATAGCTATTTCTTCTTCGGTGTCCAGCCTCTACCACAGGGGTTTTACCAAAGCATTCCTGACCACTGTCTCTATGACCCAGTAGGTGAGCAGGAAAGACTTGCTCGCTCATCATTAGTTCTCTCAAAAACCCTTTCTGTCCCTTCGGTTCTTCATGGTCTTGCATTCAAAATCAGAAGTAGACCTTTATTACATTTGTAATCTTCTCTCAGGTCTCTCTTAAAACACAGACCACAGAGTGGCATGAATCAAGAACAGGAACGGTAGTGGGAAGAGAACAATATGAAGGAGCACAAAAATCAGTCGCTATTTGAGAGTATTATCCAATAAAAGGTCATGTTTTGGGCACTCATATTGTACTGTTGTGATAGAAGTGTTTGATTTAATTCATTTTGAAAAGGTGATACATCAAGAAGGTCTTGTCCATAAATGATATTACTACCTTTGGCAGTCATGAACGGCGAAGATTCTTCTCTAAAGTACCTCTATTAAAACATCATTCTGGGATTTCCATTAACAATATTTGCATAAAGCTTGAATCATCTCCTGAAGGCAGAAGACAAATAACCCTTATTAGACATAGTAAAATGACAAGGACAATATGAGAATTCTCTTTACTGAGGATTTATCCTACGCTGAACTCTAAAACCTTTGTTTTTCTGTACATAATCTCATTTATTCTATATAACACTCATGAGATCACTATTGTTAATCCCAGCTCACATGTGAGAACTGAGGTTCATCATGGTTATAAATGTTCTACAATGTCCCAGAGACACTTAGAGTGAGATGCAGCTGTTTGAAACTTGTTATAGTGTTATAATGTTAAACTTGTTATAGTGTTATACTGTTATGTGTTGGATTTCGTTTCATATCCCAGGCACTTGAAGCTTTTTAATTAGGAATAAACTGGCAAGAGGCGGTCAGGGGGTGCTCTAGTCAAGAATGCACTCTCTAGAAACTGGTACTGCAAGCAGCTCTCACATCCACCACTCTATCTTCAAGTGTAACTTTATGGTTGGATCCCTGGATGTCAGAAGTGGTATATATTGTGGCAAATTACCCTAATAGGGTGAATGTTAGAAAAGGGCTTCTATTGACGAAATTAATGGTAGTCAATTTATATTATTTTAGAACATCCCCTCCCTTGCTTAAACAAAATGAATAGATCCTGGTAATGCTAATGGCCCAGGTGGAAAGTGAATACTTTCAAATAAGGTTGAGAATCTGGAAGGATTTAGCTACCTAATGTGGACTACAAGGATAGCAGTATCCTGCCTCTGGAATTGTGGCTTAGACAGAGTGATTTCCAGCACGATCTTGATCAGAACACATGCAAGGAAGGAGACATGGTTTCTGGATGGAACCTGAAGAACGGTTCATAAACACCCATTTAGGTACGTGCTTGGTGAGAAAGGCTTACCCAGCAAACATCCACAAGTGCAGGTGAAATTGTCCTGAGGTTTGGTTTCCTTAGAATCTGGTAAGGTTATTCACCAAAAACAAAACAAACAAAAAACTACCCCTGAGTTGTGCTTCACCAGATGTCTTAAGTCAAGTTGCAGCAGGTATAGATAGGTCCATGTCTTCACTGAAGGCCAGTGGAATTGAAATTAGCATAGAATGACATTTTCTGGGAGGAGGTTGGAGTGCTGGCTGATGTGGATGCCAAGGAGGTGGTTGGAGTTTCTGAATTTGTGCTATTATTCCATAGAAATGTGACCAAGTAGACCAGAAGCTGAACTTGGGATCTGACAAGACGGCTGAGCTGCTCCACAGGATTATCAAGAAAACCAAGAGTCTGCTGGAAAAACCAGTTCCTGGCATTAAAGTAGAAACAGATGAGAGCAATGCCCGTTATTTTCATGTGGTCATTGCTGGCCCCCAGGATTCCCCTTTTGAAGGAGGGACTTTTAAACTTGAGCTATTCCTTCCAGGAGAATATCCACTGGTAGCCCCTAAAGTATGTTTCATGACCAGAATTTATCTTCCTAATGTAGACATGGTGGGAAGAATAGGTTTAGATATTTTGAAAGATAACTGGTCCCCAACACTAAAAATCCAATCAGTTCTGCTGTCGATCCAGGCTTTGTTAAGTGTTCCCAGTCCAGATGATCCATTAGCATATGACGTAGCAGAGCAGTGGATGACCAACGATGCCCAAAGCATAGAAACAGCTAGAGCATGGACTAAGCTATATGCCGTGAATAATATTTAAATCAATCTGATCATCAAGTGTGCATCACTTCTCCTGTTCTGCCAAGACTTCTTCCTTTTTTGTTTGCGTTTAATGGACACAGTCTTAGCAAAATTACAGAATAAAAGCCCAGATATCTTCTGTTCTTTGGTGATTAAATGCACAATAGCAAATCTGTCTCATCCTGATTCATTGTTGTAAAGCATGAGCAGAGGCTAGAAGTATCCTGTGGATTGTTGCAAAACATTTTAATGCAGTGGTGCCTCTCTGCATTTATTCTTTTCTCTCCCATTATGGTTTATGTATGAAGCACTGTGAATGAAGGTAGTTGTTAGAGTTAGCTGCAGTGGTGTGGATATTTGTCTTTTTTTTTTTTTTTTTGAGGGGGGAGGTGGCTTTATTTTAAATTTATTTGTTCCTTACCCACTTTTTATGGTGATCTAATTGCATTGCTTAAAAGTAGCTACCCAGTTGTTCTTTAGAATATACCTTGTAGCCAAGTCTAACATTATTTAGATGATGTAGATGGACAAGCTTGATTGTTTGAACCAAAATGGGAACTTTAAATAAACATCACTGCCCTTACTAATAGCATTGTGACTTTGCTGTCAAGTGTGGAATCCTCCCTTTAAGAAAAAGCTTGTGACCATTTTATATGGCTTGCCTGACAACTTCTGTAAATGTCATATTTTAGTAAAATTGTTTTTGTTCTACTTTGCTTTGAACAGTTTATTTTAGTATGTTTATTACACTTTCCTAATGTGACAAACGTATTTAAAAATTAAAACTCTCATATAACATAAAAAAAGTAACAGAGCAGAAAGCATAGAGAAAAGAATAGAAAAAAGTGGTCTTGCTTGCTTTGCCTTCTATTCAAAGCCAGCACACATTCACCCAACTTTCTGACCCCAAAAGGATGAAGCTCCCAAAAGAGAAAGGTGAGCATACGCATATCTTAGGAACAAGTAGCACATCTAAAACTGAGAGTTGTGCTTAGATTCTTGTGAAGCCTCCAGTATTCACATCCAAGAGTTTCACGTCCAAGGAACCATCTTCCTATCCTCATACCTTGTGTCTCCCCACACTATAATAAAGGGATGATCAAAATCTGTAAATCATTTTTCAACTAATTCACAACTCTCTACAATAACTTTATCTAATTTAACGTCCAACCATTGATCAAGAGTCTACTTTGAGACCCTATAGGATTCTAATTCATTTCCTATTGGCATGCATTCATGACATACTTCCAGTCTTTAGGACAGTTATTGTTTCGGGTTAGTCCTCGGGTAGAGAGAGAGTGCTGGCAAGTAGTTAGACAGTGTCTTAATCATCTAGTGCTGCTAACCAAAATGTCAGCAATCTGAATCCACCAGGTGCTCCTTGGAAATCCTATGGTGCAGTTGTACTCTGTCCTTTAGGGTGGCTATGAATCAGAATTGACTCATTAGCAACAGATTTTGGCTACAACAAAAGTACCACAAGTGGATGATTTTAACAAAGAAAAATTTGTTCTCTCACAGTTTAGGTGTCTAGAAGCCTGAATTCAGAAAGCCAGCTCCAGGGGAAGGCTTTCTGTCTCTTGATAGTTCTGGGGAAGGTCCTTAACATCAATCTTCCCCTGGTCTTGGAGCATCTCAGCACAGGGACCCTGGGACCAAAGGATGTGCACAGCTCCTGTCTCTGCTTTCTTGGTGGTATTAGGTCCCCTGTCTCTCTGCTCACTTCTCTCTTTTATATCTCAGAAGAGATTGACTCAAGACACATCCTAATCTTGTAGATTGAGTTCTGCCTAATTAACATAACTGCCTCTAATCCTGCCTCATTAACATCATAGACGTATGATTTACAACACATAGGAAAAACACATCAGATGACAAAATGGTGTACAACCACAAAATACTGGGAATCCTGGCCTAGTCAAGTTGACATACTTTTGGGGAACTTAGTTCAATCCATAACAGGCAGGTAGAGATGGATATGAGAGGGAGTTTATCCCTGAAATCCCAGCTTTTTTTCAACCACTTCCCCTTTGCTCCCTGACTGAATTTCAGGATTTATGTTCACCCTTCCATGTTCCTTCTGAGATTAGGTGGTTTCATATATGCTACTTCCTTTGTTTGGGATCTCCTTCTCCTGTGTTCTCCCTGGACCAAATGTCTTCAGCTGTCAGCCTAGATTTGTAGCTCAGGAAACTTCTTCTTGTATCCTACTACAAGAATACATCAAGTACTCCCATCTTTGCTCTCACAGCACCCTTTATTTGGCTTTAGAGTATTTATCAAAACCTTAATGATTGCATGCTTCTCTATCCTATCGAAGAGTAGGCTTAGATTACAGATACCCTTTCCCAGTTGGCCAGAAATCTTAGGTGGAAAAGGGAATTCACTTATCTTTCTGTCAAATCTTATCCCAGCATCCCTTTTACTCTGCCGTGATTTGCCCCTCACAGTCACTGACAGAGTGAGCTCACATGCCCATATTTTTGAGCTGCATCATTAGGGAAACTCAAGGGAGGACTCAAACCTTCATTATCTACTACAGTTTGTCACCCAAACTCTAGCCTAAAGTGGCCTGTGTGCCCCATGCTGCGGACTCCACCACCACCATACCACACATATCAGTTGAAGACTGCCTTTCTTTATACAATGAGGGTTGTCAATATTTCTTTCTGGCTTTCTGTTATTGTTCTTAGCATTTATGTTGCTGTTTGTTCCAAGAATCCATATTTCCCTCTGTCATTTCTGTGTATGTTTGTGGGAAGATGTAGTTAGTAGCCTGTCCCTGTTTGTAATTTTGGCACTGGATTCCTTAATGGACCCTTGTCTACTCATTACCACCTCAGCCACAAAGTGGTACTGGCATTCCAATATCAACTGACATCTCAGTATCACCCTGCTTCTGTCGTGGATACTAGCTTGGAAGGGACTCCGTCATGCTTTCCAAGGTCCCATCTCCCTACAAATATGTCATACGCATTTCTACATCCAAGGAAACATTTCATGTGACCAAAACCATCTTGAACATGGGAATCACCGGGAGTGACCTTTAAGTCCACAGCATCACAGAGTTCAACAGAACGTGTAGCCATTTATTTTTCAGTGTCCAGCCTCTACCATAGGAGGTATACCAAAGTATTCCCAACCACTCTCTCTGTGACCCACTGGGTGAGCAGGAAAGACCCGCTCACTCATCATGAGTTCTCTCAAAAGACCTTTTCTATGCCTTCGGTTCTTCATGCTCTTGGATTGAAACCCACAAGCAGACATTATTACGTTTATGATCTTCTGTCAGGTCTCTCCTAAAAAACAGAGCACAGGGTGGCATGAATCATGAGCAGGAATGGTAGTGGGAAGAGAACACTGTGAAGGAGCACAAAAATCAGTTGCTATTTAAGAAAATTATCCAACAAAAGATTATGTTTTGGGCACTCATATTGTACTGTTGTGATAGAAGTGTTCAATTTAACTGATTTTGGAAAGGTGATACATCAAGAAAGTCTTATCAGTAAGATAGTGTTACTACCTTTGGCAGTCGTGAATGGAGAATATTCTTCTCTAAAGTACCTCTATTAAAACATCACCTTGGGGTTTCCATTAGCAATATCCACGTAAAGCTTGAAACGTCTGAAGGCAGAAGACAAATAAACCCTTATTAGACATAGTAAAATGACAAGAACAATATGAGACTACAACAAAAGTACCATCTCCTGAAGGCAGAAGACAAATAACCCTTATTAGACATAGTAAAATGACAAGAACAATATGAGATTCCATTTACTGAGCATTTACCCTATGCTGGACTCTAAAACCTTTGTTTTTCTGTACATAATACCATTTATTCTACATTCTACACCCATGAGATCACTACTGTTAATCCCACATCACATGTGAAAACTGAGGTCCATCATGGTTATAAATCTTCTACAATATCACAGAAACAGTGAGAGTGAGATGCAGCTTTTTGAAACTCTAGAACTTGAGCAGTAAACATCCCTTTGTGACTTCCAGAGTTGGATGGCAAATAGTATAATGTCTGTGATATATTTTGATAATTTTCAGAACATATAGTATTATATGTTGGATTTATTTCCATAGCCAAGTCACTGCAAGACTTTCAAAGAGGAATAAACTAGCAGGAAGTGGTCAATGGTTGCTCTAGTCAGGAACTCACACTCCAGATGCAGGTATTACAAGCAGCTCTCACTTGCAACCCTCTGTCAACAAGAGGTGCTTTATGTTTGGATCTCTGGATGTTAGAATTGGTAAATAAATACTGTGTCAAATTACCCTAGTAGGATGAATGTTAGAAATGAGCTTCAACTGATGAAATTAATGGTAGTCAGGTTATATAATTTTGGAGTCATTCTCCTCCCTTGCTTAAACAATGTATAAAAATCCAGGTAATGTTACAGGCCTGGGTTGATAGTGAATAATTCTAAATACGGCTGAAAATCTGGAAGAATTTCTGCTGCCTGATGCAGAATACAAGGATAGCAATATCTTGTTTCTGGAATTGGGAAATTATTGAGCAATATTATTAATATCACACAGAAGTAAAATTTTGCTGAAGATCATTTAACGTGGTTGCAGTACTACATCAGGGAGAGCTACCAGAAATTCAAGCCACATTCAGAAGAGGACATGGAACAAGGGATATCATTGCTAATGTCAGATTGATCATGGCTGATAGCAGAGAATACCAGAAAGATATTTACCTGTGTTTTATTGACTATGCAAAGACATTAGACTGTGTGGATCATAACAAATTATGGATAACATTCTGAAGAATGGAAATTACAGAACACTTAATCCTGCTCATGAGGAATCTGTACTTAGAGCAAGGGGGAGTTGTTGGAACAGAACAAAGAGATATTGCATGGTTTAAAGTCAGGAAAGGTGTGTGGCAGGGTTGCATGCTTTCACCATACTTATTCAATCTGTATACTGAGCAAATAATCTGAGAAGCTGGATTATATGAAGAAGAAGACAGCATCAGGATTGGAGGAAGACTCATTAACAACTTGCAATATGCAAATGACACAACCTTGCTTGCTGAAAGTGAAGATAAATTGAACCACTTACTGATGAAGATCAAAGACCAAGCCTTCAGTAAGG